ATTGACCGGAGGGTCATACCGAGTTTTAGCCTCGAGTGGCTTATGTGTTGTATGTGGTATTTTGGGGAACTCACTAAGCATTTATGCTGACCGTGTTAAGTGATATGTGTTTCGGGTACCAGCGAGGATCGCGGGAAGGCGCCGGCATGATCTGTACACACTGGCAGGGGATTATGTTTTGAGATTCTGGGATATGTTTTATTGCGATGACATTTGATACATGAGATTTTGAGAATATTATATGAGTTTATTTATGTTTGAAAAATGAAAAATTGTTTTAAATGTTACGTTGTTACACCAAAATATTGTCGATGAAAATGATCACCGATCGATCCAACATAGGCCGGCACACCTAGTTCATGAGGTCCATGAACGCCGCCGGTGCGTTGGTGAGCCCGAAAGGCATCACCACAAACTCGTAGTGCCCATAACGAGTCCTAAAATCCGTCTTATGGATATCCTCCTCGCAAACTCTCATCTGATGATATCCACATCTCAAATCAATCTTGGAGAACCAAGACGCCCCCGACAACTGATCGAACAAATCGTCGATCCTCGGAAGTGGATAACGGTTCTTGACCGTCAGCTTGTTCAACTCCTGGTAATCACTACACATACGATGTGAACCATCCTTTTTCTTGACGAAAAGGATCGGTGCTCCCCACGGTGAGCTACTCGGTCTGATGAAACCTTTCCCCAGCAGCTCCTGGAGCTGTAAGGATAACTCCTACATCTCTGGTGGCGCAAGGCGATAAGGTGCCTTGGCAATAGGTGCCGCGCCCGGACCCAAATCAATCTGAAATTCTACTTGCCTCTCGGGAGGCACACCCGGAAATTCCTCGGGAAAAACATTCGGGAACTCTCACACTATCGGAACCTCGGAGATAGAACTCGGCCTCTCTGTAGCAACCCGCGTATCCATCACATACGCCAAAAAGCCCATACAACCCTGTTGTAGACTCTGTCTCGCTCTGGCAGCAGAGCAGAAAGCTGATCCAGATCTGGTACCCTCGCCATACACCGTAAGCACTCCCCCACTAGGGTCTCGTATGGTCACCATCTAACGCTAACATTCAATCACAACTCCAAACCGACTCAACCAATCTATGCCCACTATGACACATACATCACCCATGGCTATCGACACCAGATCTATCGGAAACTCAACACCAAAAATCTCTAGTACACATCCTCGGAATACATCAGTAGTGAAAACCGCATGCTCGTCGGCTATAGAAATCCTCAGAGGTCGACTCAACGCCTCACGTCGGATATTGATGTGACGACTAAAGGCTAAAGACACGAAGAAAAGTACCTATATACAACACAATATAAGCAAAGCAAATATCAAAATAACAGGAATAAGGAAATACGTACCTGCCACGACATCAGGTGCTGCGCGGACCTCCTCCGCTGTCAGTTAAAAAGCTCTCTTGCGAGCCTTTGGTGCCTCGACCTTCGCTGGTCGGCTATCAGTAGCTCGTAAAGCAGCATGAGCGGAACCATGGGCTAATCTCTGAGTGAGCTGAGGGCACCCGGCCTTCCGATGGCCGGTCTAGTTGTAGTGAAAGCAGACTGCAAACCCCTTGGGGCAATCCCTCGCCAGGTGCCCCTCTTTGCCACATTTGTAGCAAATCCCTGCCCGAAACGATCCCTCGTGACTCTTGCCGCACTTGTCATAACTGCGGCCCTTCTGCCCCCAACCCTCGTATCAGTGGGCTTTGCCCGCTTCGTCGCCGGCTGCGACTACACTGGTCTCCGGTCTCTCCCTTGAGACTCCCCCTCCTCCTAGCCTATAACTCTAGCTTAATCTCCCTGCGCCTGGAATTGGTCTGAAGCTCAGCCAATGTCTGGTATGACGAGTTCACCACAAACTCTCGTATATCCCTCCTCAGTATGCTCAGATATCGGCTCACACGTGCCTGCTCAGTAGACACGTACTCAAGGAAAAGCAGCGCCCTCTCATGGAACATCCTCGTGATCTCGATCACAGTTTCTGTCTTCTGTTTGAGAGACAGAAACTCCTGGGCTAACCGTTCCTTCTCCACCTGAGGAACATACTTATCTCGGAACAGTTGTGTAAACCTCTCCCATGTCACTACAGCATGATCTGCAGGAGTAAAGCTGGTAGTCACAAACTTCCACCAGTCCTTCGCTCCCAAGCAAAGCAGGTTCAGTGCAAACCGAACTCTCAAGTGCTCAGGGAATGAACATGTGTAAAAAAATCCCTCAATGTCGTAGATCCATCACATAGCAGTAATCGGATCCGGTGTCCCATCAAACTCTGGTGGCTTCGTGTTGCTGAAATCCCGGAACAACAACGAGTCACCCCCTATGGTCTCGAAGCAGCTAGTGTTGCGGTGGCTGCGGCATCAGCAGCCTCAGTAACAGCAACATAGCGCTCATCGAAGGTCTCAATCAACGTGGTCTTAATAGACCCAAACATCTCTGGTATCTTCTCTCGGATAGTTGTGCCCACCTCAGCATGGATGATCTTGTGGATCTCCTCGTCACTGGTACCACTGGTGCCCTCGGGGTTATGGCATGTACCCACCATAATGTCTCTGAAACACAACACGAAAATAATCAGAGACTCATTCGAGCATACTCACACTCGATTTTCCGCCCCTACATGCTCTTTAGTATCCTAAGGATTCTTACTTGGGCTGCATACAGATCCAGTGTTTTCAGTAGTACGGGCCCAATACTACCTTCCACACCAACTTGTAGTCATCCCAAGTCCTCCTCCTAGGATCCTAATTCACAGTACTCTATCCCTCAGGGATATCCAACTACTCTCTCGGTAGGCCCCTCATATGCTCATCTAGGTATCTCTCCTAGATTATCCCTCAACTCAGAACTCTCTCTCTCTCTAAGTGATTTCCTGCTAAATACTCCTACACAGTATATACTCTGGTAGCAGCAACTCCTAGGTTAAGGCATCATAAATCAAGCAACACTAGCCCTAAATATGAAATACCTAGCCTATCATCTAGCATGCATCCCTAACATCTCATAAATATCTCATAACACAAATAAGTAAGGGTATTTTGGGAAATCACCGTTCGGGCTCTGACTGATTGTACACACTGCTCTAACTCGTTTCCTGTTAAAACTCTTGCACGTTTTTAGAAAAATCATTTCTTTTTGAAAAATTTTCTAAAATTCTCAGTTTGAGTCCAGACACACCCGAAGGTATATCCGAATCCCTCAAACCAAGGCTTTGATACCAACTTGTAACATCGTAAATTTTCAAACAAATTTTTCACATAATTCTCATTATCACATTCCAAAAACCACAAGTATCAAATTGCCAAAACACAAATGTCAATAATCGTTTGATAAAATCCATGATCCACAAAACCTAAACTCCATCTCAAGTGTGCGTACAATCTAGCCAGCGCCTTCCCGCGATCCTGAGAAGTACCTGAAACACATATCACATAACACGGTAAGCACGAAGCTTAGTGAGTTCCCCAAAATACCACACATATCTCAATAGCCTCTCATGGCTATATCTCAAATAAGACCCTTTGGTCAATGTGTCTCAGTGGGACCCTCCGGTCCCACAACTCGGGTGGACCCTCCGGTCCTAATTCAGTAAGCTTAGAATAATACACAGCATAAATCACAAAGACATAATGTAGGATATCACAATACTCAATATAAGCACATAAGACCCTCCGGTCACACAAATTACCACTCAAGGTAAGTATAGTGAGAAGACTCACCTCGTAAGCAAGAAAATGAATCTCGTACACGAAACACCGATCTAGCCTCCGCCTAACACATACGATAATTATCTCTAATTAACACTTAAATCACAACTCTAAATAAACCAAGCTATTTTCTCTCTTTAAATCTCTTGGAATGGATAAAAGACCATTTTACCCCTCCATGGTCTCCCTATTCTCTGTCTTGACCAACCCTAAAGTCAACAGAAGTCAACACTTGAGTCAACAGTCCTTATTGACCCGACTCGTCGAGTGCACCTATGTGACTCGCCGAGTCCCCTTGTTCCTTCAGAGAAGTCGCAAAAACCAAATCTAACTCGTCGAGTTATCTCATCAACTCGCCGAGTTACTCATGTCCAGACTCATCGGGGAAAACCCTAGCCGACTCGTCGAGTCAGCCCATTGACTCGGCGAGTCCATTCAGTCTACATTCTCATTCAGACGTTTTAAGGCAGATCTACAACTCCAAACTCTAGATGTATCATCCCAAGGCTCGAATGTCACGTAAAGATGCAAGCTTTACGTTCATGCATGGAATATTAGGCTCATAATGCCAATACAAGCTCCAACAAGGGTTAGATGCACAAGAGCTTGCCTCTAGCTCAATAAAGCTTGGGTCTTTGGACTGACAAGGCCTCCTACAGTCCAAATCTGAGGTTCCAACCTCAAACCATGCTCAAATGACTCAATGACACAAGATGGATGGGAGAAAACCCTAAAAACTCCCTAAACCAAGATCTCATAAGGAAATGATCAAGTTAGCATCTTTTTACCTCCAACTGAAGCAAATCTCTGAAGAATCTCTGGATCCAAAAGCCTCCTCTTGATCCAAGCTTTGATGCTCCTCACTTCTCCTCCAAAAGTGCACTAAAACCACAAGATTAGCCTCTCTCTTTCTCTCTTAGCTCACTAACACGATTAGGGTTTAACACAGGGGGATTGGGTGGCTGGTGAGGCGGAAATGAGGGCTTAAGGCCCTTTAAATAGGCACAAACCCGAAGATTTAGGGTTTCCTCACACAGCGCCAACTCGGCGAGTCGGCTCTCTGACTCGTCGAGTTGGTCATTAAACCCACGTGGCCAGCCCGACTCTACTCGACGAGTTGGGCATCCAACTCGGCGAGTCACTCAGTCAACCCTAAAAATATAAATAAATAAATATTATACCTGGGAGTTGGGATGTTACATATTTATTAATATTCAGTTAAGTCACATTTATTGTCTAATAATATAAAATAAAATATCATTAATACAAATATAATGGATTACACGTCACAATGTTATGTCAAATACAAAGTAATAAACAATTCAAATTTACCAAAATTTTGTTTAGAAAATGCAAAATAGATAACTAGAAAATAAAGTTTGTGACAAAAAAGATCCAATCTTCACGAACATCTTCAATATCACCCTTCATATATGTAATTTTTCCACTCCAAACATTGTCTACTAGGCATCAAATTCAAAGGTTACCTCATTCATGTCGACCGGTAGATCTTCAAACAAAGTCGTGTTCTCTTTCTGCTTTCTCCTTGAGCACACTGGTATATAACAATCAAATCAAATGTGGTGGGTGCACCATAAACTAGTAAGAAAAGGTGGTTTGAACCAGGAAAATGGGAGGAAATCAATAGAAGAGGAGTAAATTAAAAGACGGCTGAGTTTTTTTTCAAGATGACACACAAATATGAGAAGGGTATCAATTGTTTTCTTTAAATTTTGCTATGGCGTTTAATTACGACGTAAGTGTTTGTGTGTCGTAATTGTTTTTCAAAAGATGAAATAATTTTTATAATAAAAAATGTTTGTCGGAAATCCTTAAGATTTCATGAAGCAGGACATAATATTTATGACTGACGTTTTTGATGTCATAAAACCAGTGTGAGTTGTAATTCGTCTATCATTAAAAGCCTTTTCTAGTATTGTATTCACTTGATTTCTTATAAAAAGCATTGAATTTGATTAACTCAAAAGTAAGTATATCGTAAAGATACTCATTGACGACTTTCTGCAGAGAAAGCAAGGAAAATGACGTGGAGGATTCTGTTTCATTCAGACAAATAGTAATAGTAGGCTGCCTGGTGTATGTTTTTTTTAAACCGCATAAAAACCTCACCATCATCAACCCTGAATCCTTGATTTATTGATCTTTGCAACATTCATCCGTTTCTCCATTACATCTACTTTGGCATTCCTCTTTCACTACGTAGCTTCTCATTTGCCTCTAATATTTCCTTTTGGTTTTTGCGAACATTATCAACAACAATGGAATTCTTTAAAGAGCCAATATGAATCCTCCTTTCATGATTGTGCACATAAGTAGGTCTGGTTAGCTCTCTTTTCCCCAATGATTGGCCATCCTGAAGCATCAAAACGACCTCCGACATGGTTGGTCTCTTCGAAGCTGGTGATTGGGTGCACAACAAAGCAATCTCAATGATCTTCATCACATGTTCTTGCTGGTGTTGGTTCAAGTCCAATGTGACATCAATGAATTTCATATGTGTTTTCTTCTCATATGACTTCCATGCCTGTTCACCCAATCATATCAAAAAAATTAAGAGTTCAGTAACTATATTACAAAGAACGTAAAATCTACTAACGCATGTTTGTTTGTATCTTATTTTTATCTTTTTTTCTCCTCATATGTACTGCACCTCGCTCCAATGTAATATTTTTTGTTTCTTATTAATCTGATCTTGTCATTCTCTAAACCGAACAACTAAATATGAGAAAAGGTATTAATATTGCATCTCACATCTTCCAGTAGGTAGTCGGAGGATGATTTGTCAGATTTCACTTCAGTACTCCTTCGTCCACTAATGATTTCAAGAATCACGACTCCAAAGCTGTAAGTGTCAACTTTATCCGATAAAACACCTTGAAGTGCATATTCTGGCGCTGTGTAACCCCTGACATTGTATTTCATAGTAAAAATAAAAGAACTTAATTATACACAAACAATAGTTGTATCAACAGTCTTACAATGTCCCAGCGAACTTGGTGCTAACATGAGTTTCATCCTCAGGTAGAAACCTTGCCAGACCAAAATCTGCTATCTTTGGTTTAAAATCATCAGTAAGAAGAATGTTGTTTGATTTAATATCTCTGTGAATGATTTTGACATGAAATTCGTTGTGTAGATGAGCAAGACCCCTGGCTATCCCAAATATTATTTCATATCGTTGGTTCCAGTCCAGAGTTCCCCTTTCAGAACCTTCATTATGAACATATATTAGCATACCAAGTGTTTCTAAATATTGAATTTTCACATGAATAATTATCAGTAGTTTTTCAACACCAACTTACCCCATAAGAATCGATCAAGGCTTCCATTTGGCATATATTCCAGGACTAGAAGTAGATCAGATCCTTCACTGGACCATCCAAGGAGACGTAGAAGATTTCGATGATGAACGTCACTTATAAGCTTAACTTCATTCTCAAATTCTTCTTTTACTCTAGCATGTTGTACATGAAGTTTCTTTACTGCCACAACATTGTTATCATCAAGGGTTGCCTATAATAAACCATTCAAGAGTTTACTTCAATAAGTGAATAATAAGGAATTTATATCCCCAATTTGTTTGTAGAAAATGAATATCTAAAGTTAATTTGATAGGTTAACCTATAGGTATTAACTTATAGTACGAAATCTGGGAATATCACAATTGAGAAATTAAATATCCTCCTGCCATTTTCTTTCTCTTATTTATATTCCTATCAATGTGAATCAGTGAGAAGTGTCATATTTGAATAATATTAATTATATTTTAATACATTTGTCATCATTTCAAATGGGTAGGAGGATAAGTTGGAAGAAAAGTAGAAGAATATTTAAGTAACATTTATATCTTAAATATTTGTCATTCAACTACATTGCTTATAAATGAATCTTCAATGACTAAGAAGTTTATAGATCTAATGAAATGTAATTCATGAGAAATTGTTTGTGTTTCCTGGAAAATAAATATCTATATGTTGAAACCAAATTGAAATCAATAATATCATTCGGATACGAAAATTCTATTTTATTACCTTGAATACTTCACCAAAACCTCCTTTCCCTAGAATATTCTCTTCCCCAAAATTATTGGTAGCCAGCTGCAGATCTTTATAATTGTAATGTACTGCACCCTTCAAATCTTCTGCATTCATGGCATAACATGGTCGACATGTATACAGATAGAGTTTATCGTTATAATTATTATAAAACTAAATAAAATATTATGATAAGAACTATATCCTGAAAAACAACAAATGATCAATAATTCCACATGATGAGCCACATCACGCACCAACCCGGTCAACCAGGTGTTGATAGCCTCATGGTCGGAAGAAGACAAATACAAATGTCTCATAAATACACATAACACATATATACAATCACCTTGCTCAATCTCTTTAGCCTTCTTCCGTTTTCGATACACTAACCACATGACAAGGATTGTTAAAAACAAAGCTATGCCAGCAATGGTTCCAGCAATTATGGGTACCTCACTTGAATGCCCTATCATATAATCAAACAGAAGTTATAAACCCAGGAAGTCTGGATCGGCGGAATTGATTGTTTCAAGAAATTGAAAGAAGTGGACTCACCTTTTAAGACACTTGAGATATCTGTTGTCTGGTTGTTATTGAAAAATGGAGTCGTTGAATACCTTGCAAAACAGCCCATGTCGAAAAACCATCCTTCTGTTCTTGGAAGACAATTATTTAATTCGTTATATGCTGCATTCATGCAATTTTGACATGCGATTTTATTTCCAACACACTGTCCAATCGCATTCACTGTTGCATTATCACTTGCGATTTCCCTTGTCAATGCTACATAGAAATTAGATGCTTTTGGAGTAGCATCTCTAATATCCGTTAGCAAGTCATCTACAACTCCTTCAAAAGTTGTAATCGGCTGTGATGCTGACTGATTACCACATCGTGAAGATGGTGTGCCAGTCCCATCCTGGACCACATTTGGGTTATTATAGAAGTCAGCAAAGTCTTCGTACCTTAACAAGAGATGACATAGAAGATTTAGAACTTCTTTTTCCAAAGCTTCTTTAGATTGATATGAAATGATAATTAAAATTACTTCCAAAAAATAATAAATTATGTGTTGAAGAATTGTGATTTTCAATAATCACTTCGAAGGAGTGACACGATGGATTTGAGGATCAATCCACAATCCGCTTAGGCCATCTCCAATGGATTAAACCCATGGAGAGTTTAATGAAATGCCAAATAGGAGAGAGAATACTTCAACTCTACCTTCCCTCTCATCAATATTATATTTAAATTTATTCTATTGAACTCTTATACAACTCCCATTGGAGATGGCCTTAGTCTGGGGGTTGGTTTGTTAATTTCCTGTTGCAGACCACTCCGTCCTGCTGTGAGGACCGATATGTTTTTCCTTGCTTTGGTCCGCCTACACAGTTGTATTGTACTTTGAAAACCATCCCCAACTCGGAAACTTTGGTTGGATTTCTCTATTGTTTATGTATTAATCAATTAGAGGCACCCCAAAGGGTTTAGATCATTTAGATGAGCGATGGATTTGAGAGAATATAGAGTTTAAGTGTGATATTTGGAGTGTTTTTTATAAATATGATGATAAACAAAGGAAACTAGAACAATCATGAACACAAGTATATTTGAATGGAAACCGTTGCAGGAAAAACCACTAGGAAAAAGAACTTGTACGTATAAAATTGTCAGTGGGAAGAAGGGGTTATATGCAGGGACGGACCCAGGATTTCGTAGTAGGTGTTGCCGGTGGCACGTAGGTGTTGCCGGTGGCACATTTTTCCTTTTACGTAGTGGCACAAATATAAAAAAAACGAAAAATTCGAAATTGTTTACACTGTATCCGAAAAAATAAGGGGTTGCCGGTGCCACTATGGGCACCATAGTGGAACCGTCCCTGGTTATATGAGTATAAAGTCGATCATCAGAAAAGAGGATATAAATAAATGATGAAAAAACTATCACTAGAAATGCTTTATTTTTAGCCTTTTTACAAAAGAATCTTAAAGATCCGAAAACTCCTAAATAGAACGAAATAATGTCATAGAACTAGTAAACGTGGAAAACAAGTAATCAACAACCCAACCAATGGAAATTCGGCTACGCAGCCATAATTCCAAAAACGCTGCCTTAACAGAAAATATTTTTCATGCAACGGCAACACTTATGCCAAAGTGTTGCATTAACACGAAAAAGTTCGACGATAGAATTTAGATCATACTTCAATAATGTTTTAACTTCCCATAACAAATATTTGTGCTTTTTATTTGAGGGGATCCGAAAACACATTGTAATTTTGTTAAGTCCGTAGTTGGTATTGTAGGTTTTGTTTGACTTACCAATTAGTCAAAAAGTTTTTAAATCAAATAAAGGAAGCTTGGCTATTGCAATTGTTAAAAGAAAGAGTATGTTTAACTTTTCTATGAAAGTTATAGGTCTAAATATAATGTTGTTTCGTATTAGGTTCAGTTGTCTGATTCGAGTTTCATTTCTCTCTATCTAGCATAAATCAACCATTTTAACCTTCTTTCTTGTTTCGTCTCATTTCCTGTACAAACACAGGTTTCAATCACAATTTAAGAACAACAAAATTGATATTAAATCAAAAAAGTGGATTTTTGATCGAAAAGTGGTGTTAAACATGTAAGATATATGTGAAGTGCAAGATTGTCTATCCAAAAGAGCCCTTACGGATAGAAGAAGACCCCAACATATACATATACATAAGGAATTGTGTAGCATCAGTGTGTGATACACTAACACTTCCCCTTAGAGATTGAGGCTTGATGAGGTCAGACAATGATGTGTTAAGCCATGGGGGTACGGACGCCAACTCTGATAGTATGCGAAATATATGTGGAGTCCAAGACTGTCTCTCCAAAAGAGCCTTTATAGAGAGAGCGAAGACTCCAACATATAGAGAGATATAAGGGATCATGTCGCATCAATGTGGGATATACTAACAAAACATAGTTGTTTGATAGTGTTTCCAAGGGAACAATGGTTGGTTGAAGATTGAACTGGGTTTTCATTAAAGTTTCGATCAAGATCAAGGATTATAAAATATTACAATTTCATATTCACATCAGGGAATTGGTCGAGTTCCTCATTTTTGGGAAAATTTCGGTATATAATATCATTAAAGGCAAGTTTAACTCCATTTATTTTCATTAAACTTTATTTTTTCTGTCGTTTTTTCATTAACCGATTCATTTTTGGTACCTCTCTACAAAGATACTTTGTTTTGAGGTGGAGCTTCAAAGTACACACACAAGGTGTTTAATAAAAGTCCTCAAAGAGCTCCAATTGGTGTTCATGAGGTTCATGAAAATAGGTTCATGTGTTTTTAAGTGGGTGTGTGGGAAAGTTCTTTAGTGAAACGTAGCAACAATCTACATTAGTTTTGTCGAATAGAAAACGGTTCCCCAAGTGATGATCAAGAAGTTTACCGAGAAAAATAGCTTAAACGTATACCAAATCGAAGTTGAAATATTGTTGAACAACAAGGTGTTTGGATTCCGTTTTTCAGTGAGAGGCTAACAAGTGTAGATGAGGCCAGGTTATAAGAAGCAAGAAAAGGATCATTCTACGATATTGTTATCAATTTCAAATGAGGTACATTATGAAGTTACCGATGAAGAGAGTGCATTAGATTTATAGGAAAAGATTGAGCCATTATATATGACTAAATATTTAACAAATAAGCTTTTGTTAAAAAAAAATTAATTACATTGAGGATGAAGAAGCATTCTCTCTTGAAAGATCATTTATATGAGTTTAACTCAATCTTAATCGATTTGAATAATGTTAAAGGCAAAAATTTAAGACCAGTAAGGATAAATGACACTTCGATCTTTAAATACCATTTAGATGAGTTGATCAAACTCAATCTTGATGGAATTCTATATAGTATAAAAGATATTATAAAATACTAGAGATATTTTTTCATCAAAATAATGCATAAAAGTATAATATTGGATTATTGTTTTGCAAGGCATAGAGAGATAGTGTACGTATATGATGCTCGCATGGTTGCTTGTATGTATATCACCATGTAATTGAGTAGGATAATATGTAGGAAAGGTAAGAGGATATTTAATTTCTCTTATTACAATGATCACTTGCGCGTGTAGCAAGTGAAACAATTTAATTTGTGCTCTGACAACAGCTCTACTAAATTAGTTAAGCATACAATTGTAAATATAGTAGACTTTACCTGATAAAGCAGTTATCGAAGAGTGTGTAAGCACCATTGCCAGCTGTGCATTTGACCAGTACAGATACGCCAGCATCAAAACAAGCCACACACTGATCTTTCGATAGGTAATTCCTGCACTGGACTGCTGCGTAGACCGTGTCCCCAGCACTTAAATCCTGTGCTCTTGCAGAAAGTACTCCTTCATTCATTAATTGCATTCTAAGTTCAGCAAAGGTAGAGTTACGATTCTTGATGAAATTTGTAGGATGTATCGGAGCAATACTACCACAGAACGATTGGAGAGGAATGTTAGTGTTGTTATCATGGTCGTTTGACTGTGAAATTCCTGGGTCAATCAACAAAAACACAAGAAACACAACAAAGACAACCATCGCCCACTCAACGTGAGAAGCCAGAACAATTTCAGAAGAATAAGGAGGATCGAGGAAGTTGCCTAACGAGTGCTGATCAAAGCCAAGTGAATTGATTTTGACCAAACTTTGTCACCAATAAACTCAAATGATGTATAATTGCTGGGACCATATGATAATTGATATATAGATGACTATATAACTCGAACAAAGACGACTATAATAACCCAAACAAAGAAAGTCGTGGTACCCATATTTTAGTTGTTTAATCTCCACGCCTAATAATACACCGAAGAGAACTTACAACTGACTTCAGAATTATAAGTATGAAGACCGTTGATTTTTCAACGCTAGATAATGATTACCCTCGTAGCTTTTTATCGACTCCACTCGTATGAACAATTCTGAGAAGACTTCACATGTATATACGATGAATATAGTTACTAGTATATACTTTTAAAATAAAATTTTAGTGAAATAGTGTATACTGGAATTGGAGTCTCGAAAGTCTTACAAACCGGAGACTGATGGGTGTTTTTTATGATGATGGGTCACTTCAGCTTACCTGTATAGGCGTTCAATAATGGTTGGCGGGGATGTATATGTATGTTCTGTTCCTGTATTCTTTCTTGCGTTGTCCCAGGGGCAAGGATCCAAATTATTACTGTAAATTGAATTAGGGTGTTTGAAAACATAGAAGTATAATTTAAATTTCCGAAATTTCTGATATTTATCAGATCGATTATTCTGATTCGGGAACGAATAGTATTTTTAATTTATTTTTTTGGATATTTTAGAATATAGATATTCTGATATCTGAAAAATTATTTATTAATTATTATTTTTAATATATTTTAATTTTGAAATATAATAGATTGGGAAAATTAAGGGTTTGAATGTAATTTAATGACTTGCTTATGTGTTTTACTTTTAAATTATTTTTTGATGAGTTTTTTATTCTAAATACTTAATAATCAAAAATATTGTTTGGGATATAGTCAAATGAAAAGGAAAATAAATATGGTTTATGGTGTATAATATCTAAATAAAAAAAATTTAAAAACAATTGGTATTTTAGGATATCCTATTTAATATTCCTTTCGTCCTAAAGTGATTGTCCACAGACAAAGAATACACAAATTAAGAAAATATTAATTATCACTGATTTTATTAAATGAAATGACAATTGTACCCCTTTTGTTGCATTTAATTCCATCTTTTTGTTGCATTTAATTTCATAACATGTTAACTAATAATGATGGTATTTTGGTAAAAATGATATTTATTTTTTAGAAGTAGGCTATTATTTTGGAATAAACCAATTAGTCGGGAATTTTAAAATGCAAAGTAAATTTTGGATACCGATTCGGATATCAAAATTGATATACAAAATTTCGGATACCGATTCGGATATCAAATCAATTAGTCGGGATTTTCTGATATTCAAATTTTGGATAAACAATTTTGAACACCCGAACTATAATTACAATGATTTTCTGATCCATTTGTATTATAATCCGTGTTAATTTTATGAGACGTGGGGACGCGATCCTAACTACTCATCTTGAAGATTAAAAAAATATTTCTAAAATGCAAAATAAATAAAAAAATTTGAATTTTTTTAAATATTATTTTCGTCATTTAATGAATCAAACTAACAAACTAAAACAAAATTAAATTAAATTAAATTACTGTTTTTTATATATATGTGAAATATTTCAAATAGAATATTATATTATAAATATTAAAACAAAATTGTTAGAGCCAATTTGGGGCTAACCCCCTTATAAAAGTAGAAGCCTCTTAGATTGGAAGTTCTGGGTTCAAACTCAGACATAGGCGAATTAACTAATTTGGTAAATGTAACATGTAACTACTAACCAACTTTTAAAAAGTTGTTAGAATATTAAAATATGCACTATAATATTATATTATAAATATTCAAACAATTCTAGTAGAATAATAGAATATTTTAACCATTCTAACAATTCTAGTAGAATATTATAATATTTTAACATATCTAACAATTTTACTATAATATTAGAATATTCTAAAAGAAAAAACGATTCCTGGATAACAATTTTTTTCATACACAACAATTTGAGCATTAAAGTGTTGTATTATACAACTCTATAAAACATAAATTGTTGTGTACGAATCACTTTCCGTTCTAAAATTTTAACAATTATATTTGAATATTTACAGAGTAATATTCTATTAGTATATTTCACGTAAATTTAAAAAAGCATTAATTTTTTAAACTTTTATTTATTTATTTTTATATATTTTTGTAAATATTTTTTTGTATAAATTAAATGACGAAAACAATATTTAATTTTTTTTGAATTTTCCTTTGATTTTGCATTTTAGATTTTATTTCTTAATTTTTTGATCTCCAAGATGAGTGGCTAGGATCGCGTCCCGTGTCTTATAAAATTAACATGTTCTCAAATGAACCACTCTCTCTCTCTCTCTCTCTCTCTATCTCTATATATATATATATATATATATATATATATATATATATATATATATATATATATATATATATATATATATATATATATAATCAATGTTGTAAATAAAGCTCGACGTTCGTTAACCGAGAACCATAAATTGCTAATTCATTGAATTTTTTAAAAAATAAATATGGCTAATATCATAACAAAGTTTTTTTAATACCACTAATATCATAAAAAATAAGTTAATATGATAAATAGAACACTAATCATTCCTCAAATAATAGTTTCTACTAAGATAGAACTTCTTCAAAGTGTTAAAATTTTATCATTTTCAACAGCTTCAATCATTGTATAGGCAGAGATTGGTCGTTAGGCACCCTTTAGTTGTTTGGGTAGCACCTAGGGATTAATCGAGACCTGGTCGGGTATAATTGATATTTTGATTATGTTCTTCCTCTAGCTATTGTAACAACAACTGCAACTTCAACAATCATTATTTTGCTTGTAGTTATGGGTATAAACACTACAACTGGTCAACCTCTTAGAAAAAGCTTCAATGGTTAACATCTGTACAATACTGGCATAAACAATGGTACTTTCCTCGTCATAAATCTTCATTGTCATGTAATTATCATAATGAATGCTAAATTTACTTCTCTGAAAATGTAAAGTTCACGTGAATTTTCTCAATTTGGAAGTTGTAAATATAAGCAAGTTCATTGACATATATTATTCCATCCCAATACTCCGTCACGTCATTACAATCCCTCTCAATTCTTAGCCACTTAAATTTCTCAAACTGAGACTTCTTAACATCAACCTCCAAAACATTACTCTCGTCATTCTCGAGCTCGGCTTCATTATTACTTTCAATTACCTAACCAAATTCAGTAACCAAATCGTACTCCTCTGCTGCTTCCATATTATCTTTTTCATCCTCATCGGTACTCCTCCGCTGCTTGTGATTTTGAAACAAACTTTGGAAACAGAAATGGATGGTTTGTATGAGTGAACTTTGAATCTGAAATAACGATGGAGAGTGTATCAATAGATTTATAGTGTAGGGTTTAAAACATAAAATCGGAAGAAAATAAAAAAATTAAATATTGTGGTTCAGCACCGTCGACTCATCGACGGTTCTGTGGTGCACAAGTGATTCGGCAGCGCTGGCTCAACAAGGTTTTGTGGTGATTTGGTGAATGTGATGTCTGATTAGGGTTGGATCGATGGTGACTTTATGTGTTATCCCTTTATCAAATTATTGATCTAGAATTAGCTATACATTCACAAAATAAATAAGGTTTATATATATACTATGAGAATGCCCGCGCGTTGCGCATAAACACCTATATAGTTGAAGTCTTTACAAATATATGTTTTTTTAAATATAACAATAAGGTTGTTGTTAAATTTGATATAATAATTCGTATAGTAAATTGATATAATATATTGATTGTTTTGAATTATATGATAATATATATACACCTATTATAACTACATAATTTCAATCGTTTGAATGACTACTACCTGCGAGTTACACATGAACAAAATTAAATATAAAATTCATGTGAAATTTCTCAATTTGGAAGTTGTAAACATAAGCAAGTTCATTAACATCAATGATTCCATCCCCATACTCCCTCACGTCATTACAGTCCCTCTCAATTCTTTGCCACTTAAATTTCTCAAACTGAGACTTCTTAACATCAACCTCCAAAACATTACTCTCGTCATTCTCGAGCTCGGCTTCATTATTACTTTCAATTACCTAACCAAATTCAGCAACCAAATCGTACTCCTCCGCTGCTTCCATATTATCTTTTTCATCCTCATCGGTACCCTCTGATACCTGAGACGCCACTACTGAAAATTCTGACTTGGGGAACTTGTAATTACTTCGAAATTGACAAGTTTTTTGCTTGTGATTTTGAAACAAACTTTGGAAACAGAAATGGATGGTTTGTATGAGTGAATTTTGAATCTGAAATAACGATGGAGAGTGTATCATTAGATTTATAGTGTAGGGTATAAAACAGAAAATCGAAAGAAAATAAAAAAATTAAATATTGTGGTTCAGCACCGTCGGTTCATCGACGGTTCTGTGGTGCACAAGTGATTCGGCGGCGCTGTCTCAACAAGGTTTTGTGGTGATTTGGTGAAGGTGATGTCTGATTAGGGTTGGATCGATGGTGACTTTATGTGTTATCCCGCCAACGACGATGGGTGACGAAAGGTTTTGGCCGACGTGTGGGATTTAGAGACCTTAATTATAGGCAATAATGGATATGTTACCATAGTTTTAGGAAATTAATATTATATAAGAATTAATTTAATGAATAAGAATACAAAATTACCCTTTATCGAATTATTTATCTAGAATTAGCCATACATTCACAAAATAAATAAGGTTTATATATATACTAGGCGAATGTCTGCGCGTTGCGCATAAACACCTATATAGTTGAAGTATTTACAAATATATGTTTTTTTAAATATAACAATAAGGTTGTTGTTAAATTTGATATAATAATTCGTATAGTAAATTGATATAATATATTGATTGTTTTGAATTATATGATAATATATATACATCTATTATAACAACATAAGCTCAATCGTTTGAATAGCTTCTACCTGCGAGTTAGACATGAACAAAATTAAATATAAAATTCACGTGAAATTTCTCAATTTGGAAGTTGTAAACATAAGCAAGTTCATTAACATCAATGATTCCATCCCCATACTCCCTCACGTCATTACACTCCCTCTCAATTCTTTGCCACTTAAATTTCTCAAACTGAGACTTCTTAACATCAACCTCCAAAACATTACTCTCGTTATTCTCGAGCTCGGCTTCATTATTACTTTCAATTACCTAACCAAATTCAGCAACCAAATCGTACTCCTCCGCTGCTTCCATATTATCTTTTTCACCTCATCGGTACCCTCTGATACCTGAGACTCCACTACTGAAAATTCTGACTTGGGGAACTTGTAATTACTTCGAACTTGACAAGTTTTTTGCTTGTGATTTTGAAACAAACTTTGGA